TGACGACTGAGGCAGTGAGGGGACTTTCAGAGAAATATCTGGGTAGTTTGTTGGAGATTTGTGTTTGAGTTTGTCAAAGTTATTATTTTTCTTGAGGAGAGTGATAAACTGCGATTTCCATCCCTCGTTGTTTGTGTGATACTCAAAGAGGATCACTGTTTTTTTCTCTTTCCTGTCCTCCAAAACTCCCATCATAGATAAAGTATTCTATTTTTTTGTTTCATTTATTGTTTATGTACGAGCCTGTCCCCCATGCTTTATATTCGCTGTACGACTCCAAATCTGACTGTTTCAATGTGCGAATAACAGATAATAATTTTCCGCCAAAGTCGATGTGTATTACTCTGTAACTGCGTCTCTCTTCCTGTCAGACTCATGAATTTACTGCTGAATTGCTGCGGTCTATCTCAGTCAGAGCTACGCACTACCCCTTGCGTAAAATCGTGTCAGCTGTAATCATCCCCATTGACTTTACCGCTAAACGCCACGACCTCTTCCCACACGATTTTCTGTTGTATTGGACGCAAAATCGGATTCCGTGTGTTCATCGCTTTAGACCCCATAAAATGAAAACATAAACTACAAACATTAAAATATAAGTATATATTTTTTTGCTATAAGTGTTTTTTTCCCTTGATTTGAGCCGATCGGTTAGACAGTTTTTCCAATGGAAGAAAATTATTTATATTTTACATCAGAAAAATAAGTATACCTTTATTTAATATATCTTATATATCTTATTTTAAGGGGTAAATATACTAATTTATTGGCAGAAAATCTCTTCTACCTGCTCAACTGAAAGGAAAATATGCTGGTTTGAACAAATCGTAACCTAGTTTTTGCACTGTTTTTTTAAATCAATATCTTATGATGAAATGCACAGAGAGAAGACTATAACTGATTCATCCAATGGAAAATTGGAAAGTAGGCCTTTGCAATATACTTTAATAATTCTTTAGACATTACAGCCAGCTTTAAGTTGCAGTCGCATGAAGATAGTATCAGAGTTTTCATCCCTTAGATCAGGGGTCTGAAACATTGGCTTTGTGGCTCACTTAATATACCAAACAAAAAACACTCTTGCCTGGTTTGTCCTTTTTTATGCGTTTATTTTTGTTGCGCTATATGTCCCCATTAAAAAAATAATGGCCCCCCTATGGGAGAATTATCCTGCCATAATGCAAGAGCACATAATTTCAATTTGAGAAAAGAATTTCATCTTCTTGCACTCAAAACTTATAATGCTCACACTCAAAACATGCGCTCTCTCTCTAATCTTTTCTCTTCTCTCTCAAATCTTTGTTTCTTCTCACAGATTTAATGTTTCCAGAAAGGGTGCGCATGTCTAACTCTACTGAGTGTGCCTGTGATAAACCTTACAGACAATAAATTGTGAAATAATAAAGGGCGATTCAAGAATCACCAATGAAAAGTCACTTAATTTCTGCTGGAGGCAGAATTAGCATCTGCCCTGACTAGCAAACTTTTTTTTTTTTTTTTGACGAGCAACTCTGAGTTTTCTGTTCACATCACGTCACGTCTGAAAATGGATAGCTTTTAAATTAAAAAGCCATTTTATTGTCGGTAAGGTAACTACTGAGTAAGGTAACTCAGTAGAGTTGGACAAGCGCACCCTTTCTGGGGCTGTCGTTCTATTGGCTGGAAAGGTTGCTAGGCGACGATCCGATCCAATCTGAGAGAGAGCAAAAAAAATCCGCAAGCAGAGCCTACGGGTTTGCGAGCGTTACTGAGGCTCGAGCAGAGCGCGGTTTGTGCGCGAAGAGAAGGAGGCAAGCGAGAGGAGAAAATATCTGTGCAAGAAGCATTAAATCTGAGAGAAGAAACAAAGATTTGAGAGAGAAGAGAAAATATTTGAGAGAGAGCGCATGTTTTGAGTGTGAGCATTATAAGTTTTGAGTGCAAGAAGATGAAATTCTTTTCTCAAATTGAAATTATGTGCTCTTGCATTATGGCAGGATAATTCTCCCATACCCCCCATCTGACTGCATTCTGGAGGAGCTCTGCTCCCCTCTGCTTCATTCTGCTTCTGCAATTCTTTATATTTTTGCAAACATTTGCAGAGTTCCCAAGCATTCAGAATTCAGCGCAAAAATTATGATTTGGGGTTGCTGATTATAAAATTATTAATTATTAAAAATCCCTTCATTAGAATTACGCATTTATTTGCTCTTTCTTGCTGCTTCTATCTGAGCCGCATAGTGGGACACAGTCGGCCGCTGAATCGGTCCCACCAATGCTCTCTCTGTCCTCCCTCTTTTTCTGATTTGTGGATAACCTAATACTGAGTATTATTATAGATTTTACTTATTCTATTGTATTTCTTGCTTTACAGTATTCTTTATGCTTATGCCATTAAATCTGATTCACACGGGATCAGTTGTGCAGCTTAATTAATGTAGCTGTTATCGTTAACATTTTAGGATTTTTTTTTTTTTCTTACTGATGTAGAGGTGAATTTATTTTGTTTTTCCGTAGAACAATCTGTGTTCTAATAGAAAATGATTTAACAAATGGTTTGTTTTTGTTGTTTAGTTATATTTTTTAAGATTCCAGTTTAAGTTTTTGTAGATTTAGTGATTTTCCACACTTTTTAGATCCATGTCACATCGGATAAAAATCAGTAGGATTTGGGGTCACCCAAGGTTGGCATCTGTTAATTGACCCCACACAGCCTCCATTAAGGTCTTAGCACAACTGTTCGCTCATGTTAAGGTCTGGACTACATTATTGTAAGATCTTCACTTCAGCCTAGATGTGCTGCTCTGTTTTGGAATCTTTGACCTGTTGATGATCCAATTTGAATTAAGCTTCAACGCACAAAAAAAGTCAATTTTCCTTGAAATAATTGTATATATTTTTGTTAATCTTGTCTTTGAGCAGATAATGAAGACTATTTAAAATAAAGCAAGATAGTTTACAAGTAAAAATTGAAATTAGGAACAAACTTACATGTAAATACTATGTTATCTTGTGTGAATAACATCTATTGTTCTTATTTTAAGGTAGAAATACCCATTCCTTTGGCTGATCATCTTCATTACCTGCTCAAATTAGGAGCAAATACACTTTTTTTTTTTTTAAGATTTAAAGTTTTCCTTATTTTCAGATTAGACTGACCCATTTGGTGAGCTGAATATTACATTTAGGGTTTCTCATACATCATCTGTTTTTTGGAGATGGTTGGCGTCTTCCTCTGAGTAATTGTCCTCTTTGAAGAACGATGCACTTTAGATTCTTTGGAAATTGCCTCATAATATTTTTCCTTGATTTAAGAACTGCTATAGTTGCTTCCCCTTAATTAGGAAATCGGATAACTTTTAGCACAAGTCATCCTCTCCTGCTGAGCTGCAGGGTTTATGAAACTGTTTGCAAAAGTTTGCTCCAGAAACGTGATTTATGCAGTTTGGTTTTGCACACTTTACAAAAAACAGCTTGTTTGGGACTCAAACTTGACAAAGTGAGTTTCTCATGTGTTTTAGATGTAAGATTAATTTCTATTCTAAACTATAATGGTGATTTTTAAAAAATTTTTAAGCTTCAGTTCTTGCTGTTTAATTAAAAACCTGAACATAAGTCATAATAATGTTATGGAGGCAGATGATGTCATCCCAGTTTAGGTATGCATGGCTACTTACTGCATTACATCTTTTCCCGAATACCTCAGCAGGATGAACTCTGTGCTCTCAATTAACTGTGTAAAAATTCAATTGTGTGCACCAATTTTTTTTTGTCTGGCACCGATTAGCTTTTTTACACCAGGTTTATCTCTGTGTTGTTTCACAGGGAGGAAGGCTATATCCCAAGCAACTATGTAACGGAGAAGAGGTCCGGGAACCTGGTGCAGTACGCGTAAGTGGGCTAAAATATTTCCTGGTACAAAGTTGAATCATGCTGTGGTGTTTAATCTTCTCTGCATTTTTGATTAGTCATTAACTTCATAAACGCACTCTGCTTGTGGCTGCAACAAGAAAAGATCAGATCTATCAGTTATCACCTGGAGGACTGCTATAAGGCAGCCTGACGGCTAACCGAACTGACAAACAGCTCAGTCAGAATGTTGTGGTCTCACTGCAAGTCTTCTTTATTTAGAGTTGATATAGGTGAATAAAAACTGCACACAAACCAAGTCAGAAAAAAACCCAAACCTCTAGCTGAACCTAAGCAGTTTCAAACTATTCTATTTAATGTTTGAAAGTGGAGGGTAAAGCAGATTTTAAGGACGACTACGTAAAGCAACACTCTATCCTCACTGCTGAACACAGCAGAGGATCTACCCTAACGCTGTTGGATTGCATGTGGCATCATGGACTCTGAGAAGCTATGAAAATGGGTCAACATGGCCTGAAACTCACAGAGCGGAAACAGCAGGGGTGCCAATCATTTTGGCATAGTTGTTTTTATTTGTTATGTTTTATTTTTTATTGCTTTGTGTTTAACCTTAAGTAAATTTATGGATTGATAATAAAGGTGTTTCATAAATGTCCCCACTCTCACTTTCCAGTAACTGATCAGATAAAACCAGGAGAGGCTCGTTTAAACATTAAAAAGTCAGTATTATTATTTTATTACCTTAAAGCGGTGATTATCCTGTCCAGTAACTGTAGGGAACTTTTCCTCATAGTTGGATTTTTATATTTGTTTGTCTACCTGCTCTACTTTTTATTACATTCTGGGGCCTAATTTCAGGGAAAATGGCACATTGTGGGGACCGGCTTCTCCTCGTGGGGCCCAATGCCTGGACCCCTGTTTTTGGGTCAGGGGTCAAGTTTAGGACTGAGGTGTTAGGGTCACGGTTAGGCTGTAGAGATGAATGGAGGCCGGTGGAAAGGCCCCACAAAGATCATGAAACAAGTTTGTGTGAGGTGTATTGCTTCAGTTTCAGGGGCCCTCACACATGACTATATTTCGTGTCATTTTTTAAAAATGTTTAACTCCATCCTCTGGCCTGCTGCTCTAAAAATGTAGACCTTATATTTTTTTCCTGCTTTGTAAACTCTCTAAAGTAGTTTATCTCCATACAGAAAGGTGATTTAGTTAATCTTAGGACCCGTTTTCTTTAAAGATGGTTGAGGTAAATTATTTATTGTTTTCCTGTGGTTTTTAGTGCAAAAACTACACACAGGAACCTGTATGTGTCTCAGCTGCACAGAGAGAAATGTTATTGGTTTAGTGGCTCACCTTTCTGCTATTCATTGTTATTCAACATGTTTTTTTTTCTATTAAAAACCACAGCAATCGCATATATTGTGAAGTTTTACTTGATCTATTCACTCACAGTTGTTTAGTTGACTTAATGTAATGTTGGGGTGATGTTTGTTTCAGATGGTTCAGTAAAGATGTCAATAGGAACATGGCTGAGGAGCTGCTGAGGAAAGAGGTCAGTCTTATTCCTATTTATTCACTTTATTCTTCCTAATCTTCAATTCTTTCTCCTTTCTGTCCGTAAAAATGAAACAGGAAAATTCTCCTTCCTAATCATCCCAGGGGTGATCTGATCTCTTCTTAGCAGTTAACCTGAATAAACTTATTCGCCTTTGTGATATTCAGGGTTTTTGCTATTAGTACAGATGATATCAACAAGGTAACTCAACTCTGAGGTAATTCTGATTAAAGTTGAGGGAAAGCGGGCGCATAATATGAAGCCGTCATTAATGAAATTTAGAAAACAAAACGCATGGCAACAAGAGGAAATGAGAAACCTCAAGGGGCCCATTTCTAACCAGTGGAAATCAGAATATGTTTAACAGAAAAGACAATAGTGTTCCTGCTGCAAAGATTAAGCATGGCAGACCTGCATGAGTCTTTTTAATAGAACATTTAAGTATATATATAAAATTAAATAAATAACCTGGAACTAGCAATAAATCTTGATTAAAAAAAAAAAAATCCAATAAAATCCGGCCTATTTATCAGTTATGTTGAACCTACAGTAGTACCTACACCAGATAAATCATCCAGCCATCCATTGATTTAGTATTAAAAAAGTTAATAATACGAGAAGTTATTGCTTGGAATCTCAAAATGTGACACATATGGCTGTTTAGTGATGAAGAGGAAAAAGTCTTAATGAGCGCTTTTACCTCAGCCTGGATTCAACCCCCATGTACTGCAGCTAAGGATCCTCTCCACCAATGAAGAACAGACATGATGGATGAATCATCACTGATCTAATGGGCATCTGAATAGTCATGATTTAGTCTTCTCTCCCTAAAATTTTGCCCATCGGAATAAAAACCAGGAGCTTGTCATTGTTGTGTCAAATAAGCAATCTGCTGAATTTTATTGAGATAAGCAACTGACTCTGGTTAAGAATGGTGATACTAAAAAAATCTGGAATAAAAAATATATCTGCTTTCCAAAAATTCTCCAACATCTACAGGCTCTTCCAGTCAAGACATTCTGATCCTTTTCCCATCTCAGATATCAGCTCAAATGTGCAACAGACTCAGGATGAGTTCAACAAATCCTGCCTCTTGCCCACTCATCTCTATTTTTTCACTGGAAGTCACCTGCCGCCATCTTGGTACTCCCCACTCTCACTGAGTTGTGCCATAAAAATGCCTGTAATGTCATGCAGTTGCCATAACAATGTAATCAATTTATGTATATCACATCTATATCATCAATTTAGCACTTTTGGCACATCATCAGTGTGTTTGCGTGTGTAATATTCCTAATATCTGACTATAGTATTATTATGCTCCATTAATACACTGAGTTTGTTGTGATGATTTCTATCATATGTTATATTACATGATTTATTGACTTCATACTGAATATGTAACATGATGTGAATATTTTTTACCATAAATTACAGGAATCTACTTATGCAAAGAAGATACTTATGCTAAGAATCAGCCAGTGTGTGTCAAAGTGATAACTTTAACTTAATTTTAAAAGTCCTAACCCCTCCTGAAAATGAGACCATCATCATTGTTCGATGCTGTAGCGCACGTCTTGTTTACTGGTGACTTCACCACACGGAGTTCTACCAACGGCCCGTCAGCATTCCAGTGAATAAATACAGATCAGTGCTCTGGCCAAAGTCTTTTCACAGAATAACTTGCAGTATAAACTTGAATTCAAGACGACGGCTATTCAGCGTTTTGAAACCAACAATCCAGGTCTCATGTTGCTTTCTAAATCTCTGCCTGGTTGTCCAGCGGTTTTGTTTCGGACCGTTTAGCTGCTGATCACAGTGATTCAGTTGGTTTGAAGTTAAATAGATGCATTAAAACATGTTAAGCTCCTCTCTGTGTGTTTTGTCGCCCCCCGCAGGATAAAGAAGGCGCCTTCATTGTCAGAGACTCAAGCCATCCCTCAACCTACACCGTGTCTCTTTACACCAAAGCTGGATCAGGGTAATGATCTTTATTACTTTTATAAACCTCAGTAAAGGCACATGTTCAAAATTAATGCTCATCTATCTCTAAAGGCCTTTATTTCCTTCTTCATTTTTACCTTTCCCCTTATTAGTTTCATCGTTTTGGGCATGTTTGCTTTGGCTCTTACCCCCAACCCTACTTTCCAGCATTTGTCTTGGTTAAGAAGTTAAGAAGTGGGGCCAGGGGGGGATTTACCATTAGGAAGTACTAGGCAGTTGCCTAGGGCCCCAAGTTCCATAAATTAATTTTTCATGTATAGTTAATATTCCTTATTTGTGCACATTTATTGTGTTTTTGATAAAAAAAATCCTTTGGCTGAAATGCCATCATAACACTTATGATATTAAGTGTGTCTCTGCCACCCGCCCTTCAGTAGGGGTGTAAATCACATCCATCATGGCGATTCGATTCAGTATCGATTTCCTGACCCAACGAGTTGATTATTTTCGATAGTCAACAATACACCACGATTCGATTAATTGGTTCATTTTTTTTCTTACAGGCTAGACAATGTTTCAAAGTTGAAATAAATCAATGAAAGCTGTAATATCGTTCTGCATTTTTTTTGAGAAACAACAGCAAATAACAGAAGTAGAAAAGTTGCATCAAAGAATATTGCACAAAATCAGTGCAATGAGTGCGATGCAATACCTCGGCTCCAGACGTCCCCCCCCTCCACAGACGCTCCGCTGCTCCTCTCCAAAACTGTAGCTGACCACAGACAGGAGGCCGGCTTGTTTTGTTTTTATGACAGAAATTGCGAAAAAACAACTTGTGAAGTTTGACCCGCTAAAAGAGCGAGGTGCTCGAGAACGCTGGGACCCTTTTTCCACCTGAATCTCCGCTCTTTTTGGCCCTCATGTCCCTCCGTCTTCGGACTAAACTCGCCCCCACTTCCTCACCCCCACAGTGTGTAGCACAGACCACGCTTCAATATTGAGCATAAATCAAAAATGTCTGTGTCAAGCTCACTGTGACACACTGCTTATTTACACTGGGTTATTTACTTTTGCACAGGAAGGGGCAATCAGCTAAGTGCTTAGTGATTGGAAAAAATCTTTTATTCCTTTAGAGACAGCATGAAAAGTCTGCTGAGTACAAAACATAGAGAGGAAAACAACAAGAAAGAAGAAAGAGAGGGACAAAACCGAGAACAAACAATGTATGTCTTTTCTATTAACATTTCTAGGCCTGTCTGCCTGTCTTTGCCTTGGGCCCCGAATTTCCCAAATCCGCTCCTGAATGAGGTCATACAGGTTTAATCTGTTTTAGGTTCTATTTGATTTTTGACTGGTCTTTATTAATGTGTCCTTTTCATTCTAACAGGCGGTTGTTAAGGCCGCTTGGCCTCAAACACATTCTCTCCTAGAACTTTCCTCTTTATAGCTACATCCAAAGAAAAAATCCCCCACAGCATGATGCTGCCACTGCTGTCCTTCACTTTGTATAAAGAGTGTTAGTTCCCTCCTCACATAGTGTTTTGTTTATTGGCCAAAAAGCTCAACATTAGTGTGGTCTAAACAGAGATTTGTTATATACGTGCTATTTGCATCCCTGCTAGCTTGTAGAAAAACTGCTTTATTTTCAACTTGCCTTTTTTTCCTTTAAACTCTCTTTTTGTTTCTCCATTAAAACCAGGATAGATGAAGGTTCAGCTAATAGTTTTCCTGTAAACAGGTTATCATACATGAGCTGTGGAGCTCAGCAGCTTCTCCAATGTCATATTTTTCCATTTTGGTTGTTTTCTGGATTAATGCTTTTCTCGTTCAGTCTTCAATTTCCTAGTTGGTCCATCTTGATATTTCTATTCAGTTGATGTATTGAACAGCCCTCTGAGAAGTTAGGATGTTGTTTTATAGCCTAAACATGAGTTAAACTACAGATTTCCCCATTAACTGCTTTGTTCTTGGTCTTCATGATGCTGTTTGGTTTCTAGTAAACCTCTGAGACTTTCTTAGACCCGCTGGGGATCCAATTTATCACAGAGGGAATATCTACCAACTATATAAGTTCTGAATTCATTTTATATTGTCCCTTTATTTAGAGATACCAGAGTAAAGGCAACGTAATGCAATATTTTTTATTCCTTGCTTTGAATCTTCAAATTGGATAAATGCTCATTAAATGTAAATACAAATATTTACATAAAAGCAAAATAAATCAAAGCATGATGATTTTATGAGTAAATCTATATTAATTTTGTTTTAATAAACATACTTTAATGTTCATGTATCCAGTAGGTTGTGGGTTTAAGTAAAGAACCTGTTGGCAATTTAAGTTGACTTAAGTTGGCTAGTAAAAATCTGAACTTTTCAACAAAGAAAAAAATTATTATTTTCAGCTTTTTTTCTTTTTTCTGTGTTTTAGGGAGGGACGTCCAATTATTAAACATTATCACATCAAGCAGACCCGAGGCCCGCCCAGACAGTATTACCTGGCTGAGAAACACCTGTTCAACTCCATCCCTGAACTCATTGAGTACCACAAACACAATGGAGCAGGTAACACCGCCATCAGGGCCTTTTCACATATGAAACACCAAAACTGTGCAAGTGTGGAGTTCATTGCTTCGATTTAGTCGATTTTGGATCGATTCCTTTACATTTTTGCCAAATCAATGTCTAGATCGATTGTTTTATAGTGACACGCATGATGTTCACAATCAAATGAGCAGGAAAGATGCACTTAAGATTACTTCAAGCCAGACAGGTGCACATATAGACATTAACAAACGGGGCTGACCAGAAAACACTCTGTAGTTGTTACAGACAATTCTGCAAGTGTGGTTTGTACAGTGGAGATAATGCAACTCACACGTCTGCTGTGTCCCCTCTGTGTCACGTCTGCTCGCTCGAGTGAAGCTTCACTTCACTTTTCACAATTAAGTTGCACTTTTGAGAACGTTTTATTCACATCTCAAGTTGAAACTGTTTGATTTACAAGTTTGCACTTGGTGTTTATTGTGACAGGAAAAAATTAAATACATGAGTATTTTGAAACACAGTTGAACCACTTTCATTATTGTAAAAACAGATCGAATCGAATTGAATCGATTTACAACTGTATGAATCCAAATCGAATCGATTCAGGACTTCGGCGAAAACACCCAGCCCTATCCATTGCTGTCATTTGATGGTTTTGGTCAGAAGGAGGTTGATTAGATTTTGTAGAACCGGATCAGTTTGGATTCTGGCCCTGTTTGAAACTTAGATTTTTTATTACCGTATTTTTTGGGGGGACATAAAGGTGGAAAGAAAAAAATACAACTTTTTCACTACCTTTCAGAATATATGCTGAGTATTCTGGTTGGGAATACCTATCCTCCTATATAGAATATAATATTCTTTAACAATGGTATTCTGCATGGGTCAGTATGCATCAGATTCATACTGAATACAATCACAGCAAAGTGATCAAGTATTTTTGATTTAACACTGCTGATTTATTATTCCCTAATTATGCCAACTTGTTTTTATTTTATCTGTTACTAAGAATCCTTAATAAATCTTATCTTTACCATTTTCTCAATGAGACTTATGGTCAATTTAATTAGATGCTTAAAATTAAACTTTGACTTCTTTAACTCTGTATCTCTATTGTTAAATAGTAGCTAATTTGTCGCTTCTGTGTGAATTTGTTCTTTTTCAGGTCTTGCAGCCAGGTTGAGGTATCCTGTAGGCAAGCAGGACAAGTCTGCTCCCTCAACAGCAGGCTTCAGCTACGGTAAGCACTCGCCTGACCTGATCAGCTTCGTTTAAAGGGTACTAGTGGCTTTTATTTTAGAGTTTATCAGAAGGACAAGGGATCAGATCAGAGGATAAAAAGGGAAGATTTGCAGAAAACCTTCAAAGCCAGGAACAGTAAGAAGAGCCATGTGGAAGTCCTGTTAGCTGCTGTGCACCATGAAATGCCACAGAGTATTTTGGACTTAACCTGCAAATCCCTTCTTATAACCTTTGACCTGTCTATGCAGAGATGTGGGAGATCAACCCAAGCGAGCTAACCTTCATGAAGGAACTGGGCAGCGGTCAATACGGCCAAGTGAGGCTCGGCATGTGGAGAGCTCAGCATAAAGTGGCCATAAAGGCCATCAAGGAGGGAGCCATGTATGAGGAGGACTTCATCGAGGAGGCCAGACTCATGATGTAAGAACCAGTAAACAGAGCAGTCAAGAGAAAAACCATCTAGTGGTATGTGGGAAGTATTACAACTAAGAAAACTTTTACAAACCATAAAAAATGAGAACCTAAACAATAAAATTTGATTATTTTGAAACAACTAATGGTAGTGACTAAAATGAACTATAGTCGCCATCTAGTGGTATATGGGAAGTATTACAACTAAGAAAACTTTTGCAAACCATAAAAAATGGGAACCTAAACAATAAAATTTGATTATTTTGAAACAACTAATGGTAGTGACTAAAATGAACTATAGTCGCCATCTAGTGGTATATGGGAAGTATTACAACTAAGAAAACTTTGGCAAACCATAAAAAATGAGAACCTAAACAATAAAATTTGATTATTTTGAAACAACTAATTGAACCTCCATCTTTAATAATAATTTATATTCTTTAATAAGTGATCAAAGACATCCATTTCTAAAACTAAGCCTTTGTTATTCTGCCTACTCTACAGGAAGCTGTCCCATCCCAAGCTAGTGCAGCTGTATGGTGTATGCAGCCAGCAGAGGCCCATCTACATCGTCACCGAGTTCATGCAGCAAGGCTGTCTGGTGAACTTTCTCAGGCAGAGGCGAGGCAGCTTCAGCTTGGGGTCCTTGCTGAGTATGTGCCTTGATGTCTGCGAGGGCATGGAGTACCTGGAGGCGAACAGCTACATCCACAGAGACCTGGTACTACAGTGTTTTTTTCACCTGCACCACTGCAGCTGCTTTACCTCAGAGATGTATTGTTTTTGTCAGACATGTATGAAATGTTTTTTGTCCTTTGAAGGCTGCCAGGAACTGTCTGGTGAATGACGCTCTGGTGGTAAAGGTATCAGACTTTGGCATGGCCAGGTAGGAGTCCGTATTTGGTATGATTCTGCTTTTATTTTTATTTTAGCATACATTAAACAAATCTGAATTCATTAAACGCTGCCTTTTCAGGTACGTCTTGGATAACCAGTACACCAGCACAAAAGGCGCCAAGTTTCCCGTGAAGTGGTCTCCTCCTGAGGTCTTTAACTACTGCAAATTCAGCAGCAAATCAGACGTCTGGTCATTTGGTGAGGACCTGGATGCATTTTAAAAAAGCAGATATCAAATTATACTTTTCACTTTTTCACCTAGTTGATTTGGTTATTTTATTATTTTTTTGTTTTGTTTTTCATTTCCTTATGT